CATGGCTAAATCGACTCAGCTCGCCGTTCTGATCATTTATGTATACATTTTAATGGGTCTATCTCTTCTTATTCTGGTACTTACAAACATCGGACCAAAGTCATAATACCATTTCATGCTCATGAAAGGTATAAAAATAAAGCATGAAGAGTCGCAGAAGTTATAGTCAAAATAATTCAGAAAAAGCACAAAAAATTCACACAAGCACAAAGAATAACAAAAAAAATCTTGTACTATCCGGAAAAAATCCAGAAAAAATTCTTGAAATGTCTCGAAAACCCTAAAGAAGGAAGTTAAGGTGGCACAGCGCTGAAACCGGTTTATCTCCAAACCAAATTTTGCTAGGGATGACGGAAAATCGTTGCACAATGCATCAAAGGAAAGTCTCTTTTTCCGAGAGACCTTNTTGTACTATCCGGAAAAAATCCAGAAAAAATTCTTGAAATGTCTCGAAAAACCTAAAGAAGGAAGTTAAGGTGGCAAACCAAATTTTGCTAGGGATGACGGAAAATCGTTGCACAATGCATCAAAGGAAAGTCTCTTTTTCCGAGAGACCTCCTTAATTTTTAAAGCCCCAAATACTTACAAAACTATATAATAGACATAAAAAATTATAATGAGTGTAAAACGAAAAATTCCGAAAAGTCCTGAAAAACTTCGAAAGAATACAAAAAAAAAGATCACGGAAGATCATGAAATGTAAGACATCGAAACTGACTTCGAGTTTATGGGATTCTCACCATACTCTTATAACCAAACGCTAACATTCCTTTGAGGTTATAAAATATTTTTGTATTTTCCGAGGTTGATTTGAAATTGTCAAACAAATTTTGTATTTGAAATGAATTGAGCTTTGAATATTCGGTATTGGGTTGTATCTCGGCGTAAACTTGTTGTGTTTTAAAATAGTATTATTGAAAAAAAACGTCAGTTACTGCATATTAATCGTCCTGGAGGTTCATTGAAATTGAGGGAGTCTGTCAAAATATTTCTGCTACTGTTATTTTAGATAAAAAAAAAACATAGAATTAACCTTAGGTTTTTGGTATAAATTTTATTTTATTTTGACTCAATTCATTTTCATAATTTTTTTGATAAGCTACAATGTATTCGAATTTGAAAAAAAGTAACGAAGTAAATAAAAATAATTACTGAATACTGCTTTACAATTAACACATGCGTAGATCGGTTGTTTTCAAAAGTAGCGGCATAATATTAGTATGTAATATAGTACATTTAAATTTTTTCTTTATAAATATGCTTAGACNTATCTCGGCGTAAACTTGTTGTGTTTTAAAATAGTATTATTGAAAAAAAAACGTCAGTTACTGCATATTAATCGTCCTGGAGGTTCATTGAAATTGAGAGAGTCTGTCAAAATATTTCTGCTACTGTTATTTTAGATAAAAAAAAACATAGAATTAATCTTAGGTTTTTGGTATAAATATTATTTTATTTTGACTCAATTCATTTTCATAATTTTTTTGATAAGCTACAATATATTCGAATTTGAAAAAAAGTAAAGAAGTAAATAAAAATAATTACTGAATACTGCTTTACAATTAACACATGCGTAGATCGGTTGTTTTCAAAAGTAGCGGCATAATATAAGTATGTATATATAGTACATTTCAATTTTTTCTTTATAAATATGCTTAGCAGGTTTTAAACTTAGACAATATCTTGTAAAAAGCTAACAGTTTCATATACAATTACATACAGTTTGCTGTAAAAAATATATACATAAGCTATAATACAAATTCTGACAATCTTTACATACATATACGCCATATTAATTTGAGGTGAATTTATTGATATTTTATACATAGCTAAGCGCAAAAAAAAACAGTTATAAATACATAAGAAAAATGAAATTAAAAAATGCTTTGCGTTTTCAAGAACATCATTTTCTAACAAAAAATCATTAAATGTACAACTTTAAAACAACTGAATCTTTAGTTCCTATTGCCGACTAGATGATGTACTTGTAATAAATACAGTTTTATCTTCCTAAAAAACCTCCACCATGAATATGCGTTCTNTGAAAATAAAAAATGCTTTGCGTTTTCAAGAACATCATTTTCTAACAAAAAATCATTAAATGTACAACTTTAAAACAACTGAATCTTTAGTTCCTATTGCCGACTAGATGATGTACTTGTAATAAATACAGTTTTATCTTCCTAAAAAACCTCCACCATGAATATGCGTTCTTCAAAAATTCTTGAATTTTTTATTTTTACTTTGAATAACTACATACATGACTGCTTGTTTTATTTATTTGTTTTTATTTTTTAAATTTTATATATATTTTATTTTAATACTATTTATTTATGTGTTTTTGTGTGTACTATGTTAGTACATATTCATGCATGTTACTTCGTTTGTGTACAACTACTTTTAAGTGTCATTTCTTTAACTATTTGAATTCATTAATCAAGCTTTTTGTTGAATTTCATAACTGCTACAAATTATCAGTTTAGCATATTTGTTTTAAATGTTTGTATTTTTAATTTTCTTTTAATGTTAATGCATATTAAGCTACAAATTTTACAACAGTTAATGATTTTCTTACGCAATTCTCTTCTGTTCTCTTTAAATTTATATTTTAAGCGAAAATGTACGGCTCGGCGGCAACAATGTGTTTGTGTTTATATGTATGTACAGCCAAGGTCAGGTTGCCTTTGCTTAAATTAATAAAAAAATTAAAGGAAGCTTTAAAAGTTTGAAAAAAACCAATTGAATCTTTAGAAATTAAGTCGAATTAGGAAATTAATACTTTGCATTTTACTCCGCTCCAATTTCTCTCCAAAAATGTTAACTTAATTCGGAAAATGTTGGCAGTAAAAGCTTTCTTCCAACGTCTGACCTTTTAAGCTTTGAGACTGAATAATTTCAGATTTCATTCGGCAATTGATTTAAACTTGTATGAGAGCTTTCAAAGGCGCGTATATACTTTATCACACATAGGTTCTGAAGAACCAGAATCTGGCTCACCAAACTATTTGAGGCAGGTTCCAACTAAAGTATTTTTCACCGAATAAATTGTATAAATTTCAAGCAGCAAAACTTCTCCCTGATCGTCACTCATGGAGATGTGCACAGAGGAAAAATTCTCCCTATGTATTACTGTGATAAGTTATTAAAAAAAAACATTCCTACTTGAAAGCTTAAGTGAAATATTCCTCATTATATGTTGGCTTATCCCGCCTTGTGGCTCACAATTCCCAAAAGCTTTCTATATGTGAAAAGATCCGAATATTTGACACAATTTAACTGTGAAGGAAGTTTTTTTCTTGATAACTTTTTCTAGGAAGTTTTAAAAGCTCGAAAAACAACCAAGTACATTTATTAAACTATTATATTTAAACTATATAATTAGAAAATTAAGAAATAATTTGCGCTTTTACTCCGCTAAAGGAAGCTTTAAAAGCTAGAAAAAACAAGCATATTTTAAGAAAATATTTTATTCCGCCCAAAAACTTTTACTTGATTTTTGGCAGTGAAAACTTTTTTCTAACGACCAATGTTTTGAGCTTAAAAAATTCAAAATCTTTTTTGAAAGCCATTCGACAATTTATTAAAAAAATTTAGCATAACTTTCAATGGGGCTCATTTCCATTATCACACATAAGTTCTCAAAACCCGAAATGCGGATTATCAAGCTTCTTTAAGATCTATTTGAGTTTTATATAGACCCGTTCCAAAGAAGGAATTTTATGCCGGAAAAGATTGTTAAACCTTTGTTTAAATTTTAAACAGAAAAAGCTCTCATTGATAGGTACTCATGTAGATGTGCTCAGAGCGAAAATTCTCCCTGGGCATAACAGTGATACATTATTAAAAAAACAATACTTCCCGACGATTTATTGAAAGCTTATATAATATGGGAACTTATCCAGCCTTGTGGTTCAAGCTTTCTATAGGACAAAAGATCCCGTTATCTGACACAATTTAACTCTCTTCGAATCAGTTACTCAACGGGAATTTAAATAACCTCACTCTTGCAAGTAAGATCATAAGATTAAACTTTCGAAGAGGGTTTGGCTTTTTTCAGTTTAATTTGATACTTTTAAGCTTTAAGCCAGAAAGTTTCTGTCTTTCTTATCCTTTAATATGATAAAAAAATACGCCAGCTTGTGCTCAAATACTCTTGAGAAAGCGCTCGCACACGCCATTAAAATTTAGATCTTTAAACTTTGAAAGCTTTCTTCAGCAGTTAGTCAAAAAAGGCTCTTATAAATATTTGGTTGGGAAAGCCTTAAAAAGTACCTAAAAGTTTGATTACACATACATAAAAATCTTTATTGCCGTTATTTTAACTTCAAAGCTATACAATTTCAAAAGATTTTAAAGTTAGAAACATATGGTAACATACATTTTTAGTAACTTTTGGCACTCAGGCTTGTGGTTGTTGTGCATAAAAAAAAATAGTATGTTATCAGCTTCTTTATAAAATAGTTAAAGAGTTTTTCTAATAAAATTTTTTTATAATATATGTACATATTATTTTTTTACTCTTTTTTGTAACCCGCCTTGGCTGTGTAATACAAATACATTTTATGAAATCTTCAAAAGAAAGCTCTCAAATAAGGTATGGCAAATTTTTAATTTGTTGAAAATAAATCAAATGCAATGTTACGGTACTCATTAAATGGTATAAAGCACTTAAGTAATTTTCTTAAAAAATAATAATTAAAAGCTTAAGATCCTAAACAAGGTTTTAATTTAAAAATAAGCTTCAAGTAATAGTTTTATTAAGCTCAGTAGTGTTGGAAAATTTCGTTTTTAATTTGAATCAGTGTGAGTCCAGCTTTTTACGTGTGGAGAGCTTATTAAGCTTTTCATGTCTAACGCACACAAAAAAAAAGCCTTTTACTGTCTATCACTGATTAAAATTTTCTCCTTATTGTCCCGAAATAAATTGAGTTTCACATTACAAAAAAAAACCCTTTCAACAGAAAGCTTTAAAGTAACTAAGCTTACATGCAATAATGATAAACTATTAAATATAAACAATTAGTTTCATTAAAAAATAAACATTCAAAGCATTTTATTTTCAGCCAATTTTATCATTTCTTACACAAACTCAACCTTATTCGCACTTCTTCAAGTGTTTCAATTTATTAAATTATTCTATTGTTAAGTAACTTTGTAATTGTAAGACTGTAGTTCGATATAGTTTTGCGTTATTTTTTATTATTTTTTTGTGGCTTTTGGAAAAAAATTACTTTTATATAAAAATGTAACTAAATCAGAGAAATAATTCTCATGCTATTGCACTCCCTGACATTGTTGTCGCCTGACGATCACTCTGCAAATCACGATTGCGTTCGTGCTGCTCAGTTTCGGAACTGTAAAGAGTGGAGAGAGAGTAAAGTTTTAAATTTTAAACTAAATTTTTAGAAAAATAAAAATTAAAAAATAATCGGCCAAACCCAAAGAGAGTGCTCTCTATTCAATTTCAAATCTCTCCCAAGGCTGCCAGTACATACTATATCACAATTGGTCCCACTTACTTAGAGCGCACTGCTATTGGACTACCGGGTGCAATATCCGCCGGTGGTGCATTATTATTATTTGTAGTTGATGCCCGTCGACCATTGCCCGATTTGAAAACAAATATCGAGTCATTTTCAATTTCATTCTCAATCTGCTAAAGAAAAAAAAAATATCTACTGTTCCAACAAAAATTCTGTATTTTGGCCACTTACTTGACGTTTATAGGACAAACGTTCGCTGGAGACCGAACCACATGACGAACTTTCCGACACAGCTTGCGTAACTGTAGCCACTGTGGGTGGACTACTCGGTCCAGGGAATCGTTTTGAACAAACTTGGGATTGTATGTGTTCACAGATGCGACGGAAACGACGAATATTACCTAAGAAATGGATGAAAGGTTTTTATGAGCAAAATTAAAACCGACTTCAATTCTCATATAAAAAAAATATATATACACATATATCTCATGATCCACTGATCGGATCTTAGTATGGGTCCACCTCTGAGACACTACCTTTCTGATGCAAAAAGAACTATCGGAATCGGTTGACGTGGTCCAAAGTTATGCGGTAACCTACATAGAAAAAAAATATTCCGACGAACTGATAACCTCCTTCTTTTGGAAGTGGGTTAAAAATACATATTCAGTTGACGAGTGATTGAAAGAAATTCTGGAAAAGAGGCCTTCTGAAGACCTTTTTTTTTGATTTTTTAAATTTTCGGCCTTCTGCGCCCGACTTTTCACTCTTTTTCTGTTGTTATGCTTTGTGGAATATCCTTAATATCAACGTTATATTATTGAGCTATGCTTAGAAAGGGAATTTTTAAAGAATAATCACAGAGTTCAAGTTTAACTTGACTCTAGACACGAACTTACATGCCTGATGCGAGCGTTCTCTTTACTTGACTTCCGTTACTTTTGAAAGAAGCCATCTGTATTCGAATTGCAGGTCTATTGGAAGATCTTCTGGCACTAAGAAGGCAACATATGATTTCCTCGCGTCTATTAAGGATGTGTAAGGGACATTAACCTCGCAAACGCTGTGAACCCAAGAAGCTAGTGTTGAGGTAATTTTACCAAGTCACCTTCCGGGCAACTGCGACATAGGGGATCAGCTAATACTGCGTGAATAACGATTGGACAGTGATTAGTTAAAACCCCCACCAAGAGCGAGAACTGCAATTTGGTCGACCCTCGGCCAGAAATACCGATCGCACATGACCTGGTGCTCGCTGAGCTGACATCTATCTAAGAGTGTGCCACATGTGATCTATGGCGCCCCCAGTTACTCTTTATCCGGCGATTACGTTTTAAGAGTACCTTTATTAGCAAATCCGCCAGCCATACAGCCCCGCATTCTTGGCGTAACCGGGAACACAAATGGCCTAACACAGAAGTATTCACCACGCAACCGAGAGAGGCGCGACAGCAGATTACATTCAGTATTACCTTTAGTTCCAATGTGGGGGTGGTCCGCAGTGCCTCTCTAATACCAATAAAACCAGCAGATTATGCGTGCTCCGGCTGTTTAGCTAGTGTTGGGTCACCGATAGGGAACCACTGCATTCGTCAATCATATGATAGTTATGTCTTGTTATCTATTTTATTATATACCTAAAATATAGCCAAGGTCAGGTATGCGTATGTCATTCAACCCATTGCAGTTAAAATTTGTGTTTGCATTTTCTTATACACACCTATGTACATACATATGCTCACCCGCTATACTCATATTGTTGATTTGAATATACTCCCGCTATGCTTCGCTCTTACAATTATACGTACATACATATGTATGTTTGTTCGTAAGCTTTCGCTGATATAGTTAATCATATGCATATATTGAACTTAACATAAGCATGCCTGCAGCAATGCTGCATTCCCATTTTTTCTATTCCTTTTGTGTTTGGCTCTGATGTATGTACATATATGTATATTACGAGTAGTGTTAAGATCATCCACCTCTATGAAGTACTAAAGTACATATGTACATAAATTATGTATTAGCAAATATTAGAAGTTACGAATGTATTGAGATATCTATCGGTAGTTATGTATTAGTTGGAAATTACTTAAGGAGAAGAATTTGTCTAATAAAGTTAGTCTAACAGCTGACCACCAAGGCGTTTACATCTGCCCATCGTTGCTTGGCCCGTTCCCTGTGTCGTTCGATTGTTCGCTACTTTGAGTTTTGCGCGGTTACAAAAAAGGCTTTGTAATCCTACAGCTAGTGTAACCTTTTCAAGAGAGCTCCACTAGACTAGGGCGCCAGACAACATAATAGGCTTGACTACGGTCTCGTATAGCCAGCAGATAACTTTTCAGCGAAATGTCCTATTTATTCCCAATAGCTCTCGACGTTTAGCCTCCACGACAACTTCCTATCAATATCAAGCCCAAGTACTCGACTTTGCCGGATAGCTGTAAGCGCCCCAGCAGGGGGAAGAAAAGCGTCAGGGATTGTATACTTTCTAGTGAATAAGACCAGTGCTGTCTTGCTGGGATTGACGGCGAGGCTTCTTTTGGCCGCCCAGTTATATACCATTTTAACGTGCCATTGGGGCAGTTCATAGATCAGTACCACGTATTTATCTTTAACTACAACTTCAATACCGTCTGGGTAATCAATCACCCGACAGCGGTGTTTCTCCAGCTGCTCTAGTAGGTGGTTCACTACCACGACGAAGGTGAGAGGACACCTCCCTGCGGAGTGCCTTATTCACCATTCATTGCTGGCAAGCGCTGCCTCATATGGCTATGACTGTTCTGTCGCGTAGCTAAATGAGACTGACTTCAACTCAAACCTTATCCAACGACTTAACTATTACCTTCGGCAGGACATTATTAAAAGCCTCCTCGATATCGAGGAAGACTTCTGCCACACAATCTTTATGAGCTCTTGATAGGCGATCTTGAGGAATCCCGTTCCTTATGTGCAGGTCAACCAGCTACTCCAACGTTTTCAGTAGAAGCGATGTGAGACTGATTGGCCTAAAGTTTGGCTAAACTAAGACTGCACTACTTTAGCTACTCAACACACGAATCCCTTTTCGATCGTTTCCCAAGACTGTATCTTGGAGGCTGATTGCGTCTTGTCAAAGGGATGGATGCCAAAGGTATTCTAGGTTGCGGTGTCCAAAATTAATTAAATAATGCTAAACCTGATTTGCCGGTTTTTCAAGTAAAGAAATTGCATACTAAGATCGATAAGGCAACAAGACTACTAAAAACTGAATCTAAACAAATTAGCATCATTCATAATGGAATGCGAAAGAGGTGGGCGTGGTTATAGTTATTTCTCAACATGTTGCTTAGTAAAGTCATATTATCTTGTACGGATTTATTGCACTTTGGATTAAAATATAGTATACCTGATAACAAAGTGAATGTCAGTGCAAACAGCATATCCGAGATATCTCCTTGTTTACAAATTGCGCTTATATCCACCTGAGTCAAGAAAATGGAAATGGAATAAATTAAAATTTCAAAGAAACATAATTTAATTTATGTAAAATAACAACCGTCCTTTACCTGAAACTTGACATGCCTTTGAAACATGACAGGTCCATTACCATTACGTTTATATTCTACACGGAACGATGTGGGTGAAACGACGCTATGCGAAAGCTCAGCCATCTAAAAGTGAATGTTGAAAATAGAGTGGATTTTAAACCAAAAATACACAAAAAATATTCAGGCTAATAGAAGCTAATAATACTACTCACCGACAAAAACGCGTGTATCAGATGCGCTTTAACAGTCGCTATTGGCTTGCCTTTCACCAAAATCGTGAAAGTCTCATCCTTTTCCGTTGTTATAAGATTACCAAACCAAGAACGTTTGGTCAATTCTGGCGATGATTCAGGCGTTAAATGAACCTCATCTGCGGACACTGTAATGAGAAAAAAGGAGCCGATAACAAAGAATATTCGTATTTGATAGCTGAGGACAACCACCTTGTAACTTTCTTCGATGAAAACGTGGACTACCCAGAAAACTGTTTTTGATATTCGTGAGGCGTGTCTTCCATAATTGACCACCAGGCGCATTGCATGGCGAACCGGACATCACTGGCGAGCTGTTGTTCATTAGCGGTGACGTTGAAGGATTCATGACTGGAAGATATAAAAATTAGATTAGAAAATATGAAAAAGAATGGAAACGGACTGACAAAAGAACTTGCACACAAAAGAATTGCTGTGAAAGTTCAATGTTTATTTAATTTAAATTAATCCCGACTAAAAGGTATTCCGCGAAATAAAATTTTCAAGACTTTTAATAGATTTAGAGTATAAGCGCTCTATGTTCGTCAATGGTTTATATATAGCGTAATAAAGCTTTTTAAACTTTCTGTATATTTTCTATTAGTGACGAACAAATAGATGTTTTACTTTGTGAGCGGCCATATAAAATCTCAATAAAGCTAAAAAGGCTCTGCCAAAGTTTTGGAGCTTTTGCGGCGTTAGGGAGCTTTTAACCTGGGTTCGTCCATACAAAATATATAGAAATCTAAAAAAGCCTTTTCGCGGTCTAGTTTTAAAGTCATTGTTTTTTAAATAAACGGGCACTTAAAAGCTCTCCATGGTCTTCACTGCTATAAACACAAACACATGAATATCGTAAAGCTCCTTTTGGGCATTAGTGCTCTAAGGATTCAACTCCATGTTCATGACTTTCATCAAAATCAAGTGAAAAAAGCTCTGCCAAGGCTATAGAGCCTCTGCGACCACAGTGAGCTTTTATCCTAGGTTTGGCAATACAAAATATAAATTTGGAGTCATCATTTTTCAAAGACACGAACAAGTGAAAGCTCTCCTTGGTCTTCACTGATATAAATACATATGTATACTGTAAAGCATCCTTTAGTGTTCAGTGTTCCGATGCTTTAACTCCAAGTTGATGGCTTTTCTCCCAATAAAGTGAAAAAGCTCTACCATGTTTATAGAGCTTTTGTGGCCACAGGGGGCTTTTATCCCCTATGTTCGTCAAACAAAATATCTGGAAAGCTTAAGAAGGCCCAAACGCGGGCTACTTCCAGAGCCTCTGTTTTTTTATAGGTGCGCACATGTAAAAGCTCCCCATTGTCTTCGCTGATATTTACACATATGTATGTACACTGTAAAGCTTTCTTTGGGCATCAGTGTTCGAAGGCCTCATCTCCAAGTTCATGGCTTTCCTCCCAATAAAGTGAAAAAAGCTCTGCCAAACTTGTAGAGCATTTTCGACCACAGGGATCTTTTATCCTATGTTCGTCAATACAAGATATATAGAAATCTTAAAAAGGCCCATACACGGGCTGCTTTCAAAGCCTATGTTTTTTAAAGGCACGCACACTTAAAAGCTCTCTGTGGTCTTTACTGATATAAACACATAAATATATATTTTAATCCACTTTCTTATCGAAACATGTTCAATTTCGTCTACATAGTTTCAACTTATCTTCCTTACCACTATTCGCCTCCGGATCGTGAAACATGCTAATCGCAATGGTTGGCCCAGAATTGGCACGATGATGCACTGTGGAACCACTGCCGCTACTGCTACCGCCGCCACCACCGCTACCACCTGGACTACCTGGCACACCACCACAGCTGGCCTGCACCGCCGCTTGACGTTCACTACGTGAATCTCTACGTTCGCGCGCCTCGCGTGCTTCACGCACCGCGACGACATCACTGCTGCAACCACCTCCATTGCTGTTGACACTGACACCACCACCACCACCACCTCGGTCACCTCTGTCACCTCTATCGGCACCGCTGCCAACACCACCGCCACCGCCACCACTTCCACTGCCAACACCAATGATACCCTCAACGCCTGTTTGCGAGGAGTGCGATGGTGTGCGGCTTACAGACGGATGATGTTGCACCGAACCGGAACGCTCGCGACATTCACTCGAATAGGCAGAGTGACGGGACGAATGACCGGCGGATGTGGCCGCTGGCGAGGATGGACGTGAGATAGCATTGACTTGCTGTTGCGCCGAATTGATGGGCGAATTGCAGCGTGTGGGACTGTGATATGACGATGAACGCACCGAGGAAACCGAAGTGGGTGAGCGACGCTGGTGATTACGCGAACTGCTGTAGGACCGGAAGCTGTTGTTGATTTTCGGTTTTGTTGTTGTTGTTTTTTTGTTGTTTGATACGAATTGGTTTTGATTTGAATTTGCAACGAATGAACGCATAAACGCACAATGGAACGCAAACGCAATATTGATAACGTAATAGTTTAGCAGATGAGGTAAGGCGATGCAGATGCACATGTGTGTATGTGTCGATGGACGTGTACGCGCGTAACGAAGCAGCGGCATGCAAAAAAGATTTCATAAGTTGACGAAACCGATTAGTAAGTAAATTGAGTTTATGGGTTTTATGTAAATCGTAATGGTTTTAAATTTTTTTTTTGGTAAAATTTTGAGCACAAAGTGATTGAGTTGTATATTTGCGTATAACTTATAAATATAATGAATAGCTGTAAGATCGAATAACTGTGTAAGCAGCTATGATTTCTTGTTAAGCCAGCAGCGTGTACTTGCTTGAACTCAGCTATGCATATTATGCTACTCTAAAACTTTTCCACTTACTTGAACGCTTGCCGTCTTGGTGTCAGCGGCGAACCCTCCGATATTTGTCCATAACTGGGTGAGTTCGTACCATTTATACGACACGTGTCGAGTCGTTTTCTGGGCGGATCTACGGCATCTAATTCACTACGTGATTTTTGAGCGATTTCGTCGTCGTCTTCCAAGGCAGGCCGCCTTCGTTTTCGATCCAAGAGTAGGAAATAAATTACTTTCTCTGTGTTGTGACTGAGGTGAAAAAAGAAAGAAAGCACAAAAAAAATTACTTTACTTCATTTGACATACAAGAAATCTAAAGGTAAATCTATTCTAACAGAGTCACAAAACTTAGCTCATCAACGCCCTACCGACAAAGAGGGGTTTCAAGCTGATCAAAAACGCTTCGAAAACCGGGTGACTGAACACAAAAAAATATATTAAGATATCACTATTTTTTTTTTTAATTGTAAGGTACATTTTCCGCACAAAGAACAACATTATTATAAAGTTATTAGAAAAAAAAAAATTCTGGTCCACGCAGCGACCGGATACAAAACGGGGTATGCGAGATCGATACTGGGATATGAAGGAGTAAACGAGATGTATTTCCAGTGCGCCATTAGACCTGATTAGGCTACCATAGATCAGTTGTTCATCATACGCTTAGTATTAGGGAAAAGAACCGTGATTATAAGATTGCCGTTAAAGCCGTCTTCAATAGCATGAAAAGGAGCTGCCTATACGCCTCCTTGTCCTGGTGGATTTTGTTGGATGTTCTAGAGAAAAATTCTACGAGAGATGTATGGCCTTTAACGTATTTGTGACGGCAGGTAACAGCGACGAGGTAATGAAGAAACTTACCACACCACCGAAATTAGTGTAGAAGTTAATCTGGAAAGGCCATGCCCAACTTTGAAAGTATTCGAAACGGCACCCGCTGCTACTGATAGAGAATGGCGAAGCCTCGCTTTCAATTGGAAAGATCAGTTGGATAGCTGCATTATTTCTCTTGGTATTTCTGATTGGCGTCAGTTAACAAGAAGTCTGGTCTAAACTGGAGAACAGTGTTGCTGGCAGGGTCCTTTCAGAACAGTTAGGTCTAAAGGACACTCCGCAAGAAGATGTCTAACGTCTACAATACAGAAGAGTCTCATGTGGCAATATCGCACACCTATGTAGATCTAAAGTGAGCTAACTCAAAATTCAGAGAGGGAAGTTTAACTGTTTGTGGATCATACAGATTCAACACAATTAATACAAAATCAGGTAAAACAGTATTTTTTCATTTAATGTCATGAAAAAAAATATATTTCAATTATTTGGATGTAAGTCCTATGCTATGAATTGATTGATGCAAAAAAAATTTCCCACATTTTTAATTTTTTTTTTGTTGATCGCACTTTAGATCTAGATGTGCGATATCTAAACATACTCAGACAGCTAAGCTGCAACGAGTGTTAAAGCGTAGGAATATCTCTATTACAATTCTAAAATTGTAGCCTAACGCAAATATTTAAGTAGGGTAGGTGAGCAGCTCGCTTTTTACTAGGTGAGACACATTCATTCCAATATTCGTTTTCGCGCAAAGGCTTTACTATAGGCCATCTGGCAAAAAAGCGTATACCTCTTGACAATTAAGGTAAGTGTGTATACTAATGTGGCGGGATCGGGATTTAAAAAGAGGCCATAACTACGCACATCGTGTATATGGAATTTTGCCACAGATGTAGTATCGATAACAGGATACAACGCTATCGGGAGAAAAGCAGAAGGGCAACTATTTTTGCGCTAGATATAGGGTTGGAAAAGAGGTAGACTCTTGAGAAATCCTCAGTAAAATAAAGTGATTTCGCAGTAGTAATGCAGCTAGGCGAACTGCTCATTTAAGTTACTTAATTGCTTAGGAGATATATAATTTATATGAGGTATAAATAATTAGCAAATGGTATATTTTTTTAGATTTTTAAAAATTTTCGTACACATCCAAAATCGGGCTCATTTGAAAGATCGCTCCTTTCCCTATAAAGGAGACAGTCTTATTTATTTTACATAACGTTCCTCAGAATCAGATATCCTTTGCAAATCACGCCATATATTTATAAGAACTTGTTGAATGACAACCGCGTGGTCTTAGCAAAAATAACTAACACTTTGGGTAACTAATACAGAGCAAAATAAAAATCTCCATACAAACAAATTTTTTTTTTAGCTATTTCCAAGCACGTTGTCGATAGTCGGGCTAACGCCTCCTGCATGTATTGCTCCTTAAAAAAAAAAATTCTTTTTGAGTGCGCAATTGCAATAACTTTAAATTAAGGCATTCTGCTCTTACAAAAAAAAGTTGACGAACAAACTTTGTTAGTGAGTAGATACTATGCGTAAATCCACAATAAAATTTAAATTTTTTAACTTTGACTCTAAAATTTCTAGGCGCATTTCTAAAATTTTCTTCGATTTAAACAAAGTTTCAGAACAACTGTCGTTAAGAAAGAAGTATTCTGCTGAAATCTCTGATAAAAACTGCGTTTCGTAAACTTTAGTCTTAAAACTGCTACGCCCGTTTCTAGGGGTTGGTCGCCTTGAACAAAAATTTTCTCGAACAAAGACTTTTACTGGAATTCGCAATAAAATTTGCATTTTCGCAAACACAAGGTTTTTGACATCTTACTAGGTAGATATAATCGTCTGACAAAAGTCCGATACTTGCGTATTTATGCCTTCCACTGCATTGAATTTCTATAGTTTTTAGCACCGAACAACTATTGGAACAATCCCATATGTATCTACATATACATATACATATATATGTTTGTATGTATGTCCGCTTCACTTGAATATAGTTATATTCAGGTGGTCCAAAAATGCATTTTAAAAAAGAAAAGTCCGAGTTTTAGCGTTCTCACCCCCTAAGATTGTTGCATACCTAACAAAATATACACCTGTTTGTTTTATTTTGAAATCAAAAAAAATATTTAGATATTTAGATTAAATTTCCCGTGTGTTTTATATAGGGAAAAAACATTTTTTCATAGAAATGGTATAAAATACTTGAAAATATTTTTCGATCGAAAAACTCTGTTTCTCTTCAGACTACTTTCAATAACAAAATCCCAATTCCTTGTTTTACCATTTTTTAAAACTGAGGGTTCTTTTTTGGATCTCCCATTGGATTTTTTGGGTCTCTTGGGGGACCTTTAAAAAATAGTTAATATTAAAAGCTGTTTAGAAAAATAATTGGGTATTATTATTTTAAGTCTGCTGAAGAGAAACCGGGGTTAACGATCGAAAAATATTGAATTTCTAGGATTCAATACAATATCTATGAAAATTTTTTCCCCATATAAAATAGGCAAATGCTCGAACTGTTTGACGATTTATTGTGTTTTAAACGCTTTGTGCGACTAAAATAAAAGAAAACAGAGTATATTTTTTCCGAAAAAGGAAAAATTTTACGGGATGGGAGCATTAAAATTCCGACTTCACTTTCTTTTGACCTCCCTATTATCTATACATTAGGAGTAAAATATTTGTTGCGATTGCTGAGGAGTAAACGTTTTTTGCCCGGACGTTCATTTTCTATTCACATAAAAAACGCTTTATTTTATATAAAAATAATACTTCCAGCTTATCTTTTACAATAGTAACTCCCCTACTAAACCAACCCAGAGAATGTTATGTCATTATTGAATTAATGCTCATCAGTGAGTTTCCCTCGGGGCACTAATAAGTACTCAATACACACACATCATGTTACCATAATCCTCTTAACAGTGTACAAAAACACGAGTTAATCACCGTTTGTGGCAAATTCCCAAAAAAAATGAGATAGGTAATCACTATCGTCAGGGCAACCAAAACTCACTGACGCTNTCTGCTTCGGCTGTCAACAATTGTCGCTTTTATGACTGACTGCCTGACGATTTATTGTGTTTGTTATTGTTTTGGCTTGGTTGGGGGTGTGCGAGAATTCAGTGTCAACCTCCCTTGGCTGAATGCATGCCTGCAACACTTTATTCATACATTTATGTGCGTGTGTATTTGTGTGCAACTTTTATTGCGCGATGATGACTCACCGTCAGTCGTCGATCCGGATTCACCTCAATCATGCCGCGCAACAGACTCTGACAGTCGGGCGGCACAAAGTGCGGTATGTGAAACACTCCTCGCTTCACTTTCTCCAACAGTTGGCGTAAGTTGTCGTCATCGAAGGGCAATGCGCCCACCAACAGCGCATACAGGATAACGCCACAGGACCAAACATCCGCCTTACGTCCATCGTATTTTTCACCCTAGAAAAAATTAGAAACGAAAAAGAGAATTGTAATGCAATAAAATTGTGAATCAAAGAAAGAACGAGAAATATGAAAGCTGTTAGTTTTATGGTGAAATCATCATCATTACAATATTTCTGTCAATAGGGAAATATGTACATTAGGGCGGGTCAATTTGTATGGGAGATTTTTTTCGACTATACGCGTATAGCACAAATAATAATTGTAGGCAAATTAACCGAAAAAAGGCGGAAAAGCAAGTACCGCTTAGTCTTTGTGGCCATCACAGGAGCTATGCGCACCTGTCCAACGTATGTCCTGGGTTTGTCTATTTTAATTGAAAAGGAGTCCCTCTGGTGCGCTCTTCGGCTGGCTAATGTAATCCGTATAAAAAATGGATCACTTGGAGGTTCTCAAACTATTCATGGATGATCCCGCTATCAAATTCACAGATATTATCTTTCCGAAATTATCCTCAATTTCAAAATTCCTGAAACGCACTGCTGCGATAATAATGGTCAAAGGGCCCTAACTATGATATACCAATGGATCGAAGATAGACGACGGGAGTACTGGGGCAGGCGTACTGCGACCAAGATAGCAAGAAGGTCTTCCAATGGGCACATACCCAACCCTATTCGAGGCGGAAGTCTTCGCAATCGAAGTCTGTATTCGAGGATATTTTCGTAGAAGGATAAAAGGCGCAAGAATAAATATTATGTCAGAGAGTCAGGCAGCACTAAAGGCCTTAGGCTCTTTTAGAACTGTATCAAGGCTTTTGGACAGTTGTAAAACTCTTCTGAGCAGCCTACAATCCCATAATAGAGTGACGTTAGGATAGGCCCGTGGGCGTGAAGGGTCTGAAAGCAACGAATGGGCTGACTGTCTCCCAAAACATGGAGTCCAAAAGCGCATGCCTACGAACCGAGCCTTTCTACGGCACATCTAAAGGACACACTGCAGAATTATTTTGGAGTTGGCGGAAGTCGAAGGGAATGAGACAACCAAAGAAATTCATAACTCCTTCTAGGGGGGAAATCCAAATGACTCCTTCAACTTAGTCGGGAGCTTCTTGGGACTCTTACAGTCTACCTGACAGGACAATGCAAGTTAAGGTAATATTTAAATAAAATGGGGCACACACATCGCCTTTAGGCAAAATTTTCCTTAAATTGTAGACGTATTCATAATCAGACTACAATAATGTGGTTGGGATGTCGTTGGAGATAAGCTGACAACCATAAGTACCGGAAAGAACGGCTGTACTGTTTCAGACGTTGCCAATGCTGCTTTTCGTGTGGTCTAAGCGCCTAGGTATTGTGGACAGGGAGATGATTGTGTAGTAAACATGCGGGTTGTAGTGGCAGAAATGAATACTACGTTTAAGTAAACTTAAAATATAGGCCTGTCTTTTTGTCAGAAGATTAATAAGGGAGATCCTGCTCATATTAATGTTTAAGCAGAAACATTCTTGAGGGAACTGCAATTGAGAACTACTTTTATGCAAAGAAACTCCATGCATATACTCTGGAGTAGATAATAGGGTTGGAGGGATGTGCGCTTTCCGAAATATGCGTTGACAGAAAGTTGCAAGTAAAAATAATAGATCGCCAAGGATAGAATAACGGGTTCTTACCCTTAATCAAGATATATGAATCGGTACACAGAGGGCCCAGGAGTAAAATACAAGGTGGGTCCTGGTATATATGAACCTGGCAGCAAACTTTCAACTATAAGTTGCGATGTCGCAGTGTCTTGCAATATAAGGTACTAGTAATCTTAACCAGACAGCCATCTCAAATATATCGAAATCAGCCTTTCTGAACACTAATTCAGCATGGTTCAACGTTTGGCAATTTAAAATGTGGTAACACTGTGCTGGGTACCGGACCACTGCCGGTTGAAGGTAGCGAAGATACAAACTAGTTCGCTGGAGAAAGATCCTTAACTGTCTTTGAAGCATTGGTTTCAATTGACCTTCTTCGAGAGCTTTTATATGCCTACTCACTACATGTTGGCATTAATGATTCTTTATTGGATTTCGAGGCTGACATTATTATCGATATCAATGCTGGTTCCTAAAGGCGACAGTCTTCGGTAACTTGAAACACAGCAGAACCATAACAAATTTATACAGGTCTAGTGACCTAAAGAACGAAAGCGCGAACAAAGGAAGTATCTAAGTATCAAAGATGACAAACGAANTATCAATGCTGGTTCCTAAAGGCGACAGTCTTCGGTAACTTGAAACACAGTAGAACCATAACAAATTTATACAGGTCTAGTGACCTAAAGAACGAAAGCGCGAACAAAGGAAGTATCTAAGTATCAAAGATGACAAACGAATGAATTTCCTAGTGCTCTAAGGGTAAGAACATAGTAGAGCGGCGAGCAAAGAGCATCGAGCAAAGCGTCGATTTCAAACGCATATGTTTCAATGGGAAAGCGCATAGTGAAGAGCAAAGCGTACATACACGTTTGTAATTGAAGCTTTGCTCGATGCTAGCTCTTCGCTTTGCTCGCCGCTCCACTATGTTTCGACCCTAAGACGCAAGAATGCGACTTCGCAGTGATACATATTTATTTTTTTGGTAAGTATTGCACTCTTATGAGAGCAATTCATGGTGTACAAGAGACAGTGTTTAGCTTAATTTTAAAAACAATCCACCCTAATGTACAGCAGTGTATGAAAATATTTACAAGTACATATTTATTTATACTGAGATTTCAATTACGTTTTCAAGAAAAATAAATTCTTCGCTTCACTTAAATTATTGTATTTCTAACTAAGATTTATTATTGTTTTTTTTTTTGTTCGTTGTTGTTATATGTACTGTACGCTTTTGCTGACGGATATGTAAAAATAATTTCACTATTGTACGCATTACTTGCGTCAGCTATATAGGGTGGTGGGTGTACTTTTGAGTTGCAGCAAAAAGTGAGCTTTTAATAGAACACAAAGGGGATGGAGGTGGGTCGTTTTAAGGAAGAAGGATGTTTTGATAATGAAGATGCTGCCGTAGCAATTGTATTACTATTTGCTACACAAAAAGAGGGTAGTTAAGATTGCAAAGTGAATACTACTTTAGTGCATATGATTGGGGTGAATTAAGTGAATTTTCGAAAGGAAAAAATGGCGATCTCCATCAGCGAATGTGAGTACTACACTACATACATATTTATGTTTATATCTTCATTTATGCACTGCGCTACTTCTTCGCACCCATTTCACTGGCCTTACGAGACTCGTACTCAAACAAATCTTACAAGCTGTTAAAAGCTTAATGGAGTATAGAGTTCATGCGTAGTACTTTCATGCGTGACTCATATTTCAAAGCGCACAAAGTAAACACAGTTATACCATAAACATTAGCATTGACACTAATTGTTTGCTGTACAGAGACAATTTTGTAGAGTAGGGGATCTAGTTGGTAGACGAAATGGGTATAAGAGCTAGCCAATACATGCTACGTACATTTTAATGCATAGTTGTAGTTTTTTAAATAAAATTTAAACGAGCCAACCTCGGCCCAAAAATGCTCTGCACATATACATATGCAAGTATGCGTAAGAGTTAAGTGTTTTAGTTAAGTTCTTTTCCAAATATAATCCAAAGTTTAAAATCGTTCAATATTTGCAGGACTTTGGATACTGTAACTCATATAACAGTTATATTTTAGAGCTGAAAGAGATAGGGCCTCTCACCCAAAACTAATTCATTGCCTCGAGTCTATGAAACCGCAGTTAAACCTATCTTCCACGGAGCCCTTATCTGGTGGAACTCACGATATTGTCTGGAGGTATATTTTGCCGAGATCTCCACTATGTACAGGTTTCCTTACTTCTGCAGTGTCTTTTGTGCGGAAATAGCTGCCATCAGTGAAGCGGCATACTTTATGCTGAGGAGCGTGATGTCAGTTAGGGATGTTAGCATATAATAGTATAGCTAGCCGGCTATCATGACCCTGAGCGCTATGTTGCTTCACTCAAAATCGGTCGCAGAATGTCTGACCTCAATACCAACCGCGTCGGAGTATTTTCTAATCAAACTCATTTGGGTGCCGGACCACAGTAGCATTACAAGAAACTGCGAGGCTGATGACTAGGTATGGAAGGGCGCCCTTGAAACATTACTACCCGATACGTAGTTCACTCTTGGATGGTTGGGTCTCATGCAAGCTCAAGGCATGCAAGAATACAAGGTTGCGCCCATTAGAGACGATTTTTGTTGGCTAGCGGCAATTCGGCTACTGAATAATTGGTTTCCGTTCAGGTATTATTGGGGAATATCTCTTAATTACATACCAGTTGTGGACAGTTAAAATGGGCCTAGTTCCCGAAAATATGCTCTCGAAAAGATACTCCTCAAATTGAAACGTCGATACTGAACGATTTATGTATTATTATGGGTTTGAAAATTGTTATCAGGTGGTCTCTGGGTGCTAAAAACTTTGAATATACCACGCTTTTATGATTGGACTAAAAAGTAGAAAATAATATCCCTCTGTCCCATAGAGTTTGTTCTGATTTTGAAATTTTAGCAACAGTCATTATAAACAATGAGATTATGATTGAGATTGACCTGAATTGATATGAAGAGTAATATATGTATGTATGTGGGTATATGAATAACGACCGCTTAAAATCTACCTTAAATTTGTACTTTGTCTGTAGATATTTTAGGTCTATGTTATGTAGTTAGACTATTAAGTCTAATGCGCTCCACGTTTTTCGTTTTCAACTTTTGATAAAATTTCAAAATCAGAAGTTATAAAAACAAATTCTGTGGGACTGAGAATTATTATTTTCTAATTTTTAGTCCATTTGTAAAAGCGTGGTATATTAAAAAGTTTTAATTTATTTTTTATTTTATTTAATCTCTCCTTAATTCCAAAACTACAGTTTTATGTCAAATTATAGGCGATATAGAAAGTGTAAAGGAACAATTTAAACTTCTGTGCAAAAACAACCAGAAATGGGGAGCAAAAGATTTATCGCTTTGAGGAAGTTTCAGTGAA